CTGTGCACCGCCCAAGCATTGGGTTGGGACATTGAAATCGCAATATGTAAGGGTGGACTGTTATGACTGTACTACACTCGATTGCCCAAGCCGGAACGTTGGAGTACCGCCTTATGTCGACTTAGCATGTTCCTTGCAAGGCGAGGCAGTTCAAGGAAACAGGTAAGCGCCCGTTACGTTTGGAGGTGGAATGGACGTTGCTAAAGTCCGATCTAGCACGTGGCTGAGAAGCCAGGCACAAGCTTGTTATCTGCCCTCCTCAGTATTCAACCCATATGGCTTCCTAGGTAATCTCTTTTAGTATCCTAGTACTCATTCAGTGAGCTGACATGACTAGGTACACCTGGTGGGAGATGCTAGTTCAATGGAAGCTACGCGAGGAGTTGTGTTTAGTGAATCTATAAGTAAGAACAGCTCTATGATGCCAACCAAATACACTGGTCACGTTGTATCATAAGTGATTGCTGTAGGAAATCGATGCTGGGACATATTAATTGTGAGATACGACTTCCGAAAGCTTCTCAGCTTCGACTGACGATAGAAAGAAATGCTACCAAATTGTAGACATTAAAAAGAGGTTTGTGAGGGGGCGCGACAGCTCAAAACGCTGGGGCAGATGTATGACCATTTCATATTGTTGTTGTTCCCAGAGAAATTCATCCGTCGATGGGAAGTGGACTTTCTCCTAGCCGACCCGTGATATGCAATTTTTAGACAACACAAAGGAGTTCAGCACACGAGCAGTTCTTGTATTATGGCACTTTCTTGACAGCGTGAACGGCTTGTAGGATAGAGTACTTATATAAATTTGACTTTCATTTCGAAAAATGGTTAGACACGTGATGAAAACATGGTATTTCGTGATCTCTTGTAGGACCGAACGTATGCGTGACAATGTCATCTCTAACCACCATCCTGAGAACCCTTCTATCTGTAAAAACGACTCAACATGAGTTTTTATTTGCCTGCTCCGATAACATCCATTGCTGGGCACGATTCCTCCTATCTTACATCAAGTTTAACTAAGTATCGAGCTTCACCGAGCAGATTTGCAACAGATAAGTCCGCTTATAGGTTGTAGCCATTGCGATACGTTGCTCACCAGTCGCATACAGTCTTGGTTTGATCCTCACCTTTAATGATAAGCAAAGAACAAAGCTCCGTGGGGATGTTGGCGGCTTCCAGATGAACAAGCTTATCACTTACGCGGATAGTAATCTCCTCTGTATGGGGATGTCTTAAGACCCGGAGACCAACAATTGAACATGTATTGATGTGGAAGAGTTGAGCAAGCTCAAACTGGAAATCGAAGAAAAGTATAGCAGTATACCTACATGGAAGTGTTGGCTAGCACAGGACAATCCGGATGAGAAGAATGAAAGAGAAAGCAAACATTTTCTGGGACTTGATCATGCAATAACTCTTAGTCAGACCTCTAGAGAGCTATAAGCGTGGAATTATCTTGTAGCAAACACCCTTGGGGCAATCCGCAGCAGTCGTATGGTGGATCCAGGGGATTCCTGCGCATCTCATGACTAACCTGCCTTTGTACATCCTCCATTCTGATCAAGGGCCCATTTCTGAAAGATGGCCCTGTGGCAAGGATCACACAGCAGTCACTCAACAGACACTCTTCGACAATTTACATTGACGTGGCAGTCATACTTCTTTTCCGTGTTGAGACTGCACCGTCGTTGGTTCCTTCGTGTCGCAGCTAATGCTAGGCATCGAATTTTGAATAACTAGATTCACGACGGTCAAGAGACAATACTCTTTGAATCAATTTGGACAGCAAAGCTACTCAAAAACATATCCGTCTACTGCCAGCCTAATCTAGGACAACGTTTAAACTCCGCATCGAGAAGGTCAATCTCACGGGCCAATTTGCGAACAATTTCAATCATCATTTAAAACCTTAAGCAGCACTTAAAGAATCGTCCGTCAAGAGAGGAGAGGCTCCGCATGACATTGATCAAAGCTCCAATCAATATATATTACCCCTGGTCAAACGTCTTGCATGGTCGGCCAAACAATCTGCCCCGGGTTCCCAGCCTTCTCCCCACTTTTTAAATTCCCGTAAGAACGTGGACGACTGACTCAAGTTCAGCAGCGACCTGGGTGTTTTCACTGGAGGAAGCGAGTGCGAACGGAAAAGGCGGTTGATCAAGACTAGGTGAACACTATCGTAAGATTGGCACAGCATATAATCTAGCTAGAAGACATCCATTGTACAGTTTCACTTCGCGTCATTATGGCACCCGCCTGGATGTAGAGGTGATTGCGTACCTCTACTCAAATGAACGGAATGTTCCAAACATCATTTCGATCAAAAGATGACCTGCAAGCTTCTTTTTCGAGGATTTTTGTTCGATAAACCATCTGGAGAACTGTACCTACCGAAATAGGGATCTTTCTAGAACGTACGGTCTATGATTTGATGGTAGTCGGAATGTTTTTGCATGTCGAAGTACCCAATACATGGCTCGACCATAATTTGCATCATAAGAGAAGGACTTGATTGGCTTCATTGACATTGTCCGTAATATACACAGATCTGTCTTGGTTTCGACCTCATCTATACCGTACAACACAACTCCCATACAGCTTCCTCTTCAAACTAACACCTTGGCCACTCAAAAGTGCGCACAATGTAAGCGAAGAGAAATGGTGTTCTTTGAAGTTTCTCCACCCAAGTCATGTGGTAGCATGTTGATCTGTGCTGCGAAGAGCACATCGCCGGAAGATCTGGGGGTTCCTTGCATAATCTAGTCAGTGCTCCACTAAAGGGACGCCGATTCTCCGATCAGAGTGGAGCCTCGACAAGTGAACCGGTCGTCACTGGAACAAATTGGCTCATCTGTACAAACTTTAAGGGACGAGCACGTACATTCGCCACACAATACTGGTACGTTTTGCTTACAATTGCAAAGAAGAACGAGTTTACAGGCCTCTCCAATGGAATGACTGGAGACAGGGATACGCTGTCCTGCCTCTGTACGACCAAATTGACGCGCGCTCTAGCCAGTAGTGAATACTCTACTTCCCGAGGAATACTCAAGTTAGAAACTATATTGCCTGTCTGGATAAGACTCCGGGCTTTGTCTCTGAAGTCCACGCGACTATACCCCTGCCATGGCGACGCTTCAAATATACCAGCTTAGCATAGCCCATTAACACTACATAACCAACTCGAGGAAGGCCTTCCAAGTTTAAGACTCCGTGTTTCGCCAAACCTTTCATTTATAGCTTCAACCAGTCACTCATTTTTCAACACCTTCCTTTCTTTCGCCAGGATGAGATTCACAATTTTGACCACGGCCTCTTTGGCCTCACTCGCCGCTGCTGCACCAGCACAGCAGCTCGAAGAACGTCAAGGTGGTTGCAACGTCGGTTTCGTCTTTGCACGAGGATCCACAGAGCCGTCCCCCATTGTGAGTCTTCTTTTTGCTATATATTCAACTCGGAGCTAGCTCTAATACAATTACTTAGGGCTTCCTCGTCGGACCGGGTCTCCAGAGCGCCTTAAAACGACTGATACCTAGCATGATAACCTTCCCTGTCGGATACGCAGCATCAATCGCGACCAACGTCAGCATGGACCGCACAGACGCAGCATCCGTCGCTGAAGGCGCAAAGGCCTTCAATAAGGCCGCAGGCTGTAAAGTCATCATCGCAGGAGGTTACTCCCAGGGTGCGGCAGTCATGCACAACGTCATCGGCCTTAAGAAAACCGCACTGTCGGATGAAATCAAGTCCAAGATTGCCGGTGTCGCACTGTTCGGTGATACCAGGAACAAGCAGGATGGGGGACACATTCCAAACTTCCCCAACGAGAAGGCCCGAGTGTGGTGCAATGCTTCCGACGGTGTCTGCGGAGGAGGTCTCAATGTCAACGCCGGTCACTTGTCTTATAGCGCGTCTCAAACCGGTGAAGCCGCGAAGTGGCTGGATGAGCGCATTAAGGCCATGGGTGGTGGCAAGATGTAAATTTTCGTCCTTTTGAGCAATCGAGTCGAGCTTGAGTCGATATCAGCAGTTGTGGATACAAGTGTACAGGTAGCTTTAGATGCTATAATCGCGTCAGCTTGAGAGTTTGTTAATCTTACGGCATACTGAATATTATCTTCAGGCAATTATAGATCGACTGTGTGTTCTCCTTTGATCGCGTACTTTTCGTGCTAAACTGCCAGATTTCACCACCGTTTCAAAGCTAATCCTAGATGTAGAAAGAATGTCATTGAATCGCGGAGTCAAATTGAGCATTATACCGATTCCAATAGTAACATAGAGCGGCAGATAGAAAAGGTTCATGGGCATGGAGGTGTGCTGTCGTCTATCTCGCACCCAGCGGTCTAACCACTTTGGGACAAGTGCATGGGGGTAGGGCTCCGGATGAGGCTGCTCCGGTGCTGTAATCATGCAGCTGTAGTTGCGAATTAATTCGATTTTTTCGTCTTTCATATCACATTTGTTGAAGGATCTACCAATCCATTACCTGGCTCACTTTAGGAAGTGTATAGCATTTCTGGAGCATTCTCCGGAATCCCTTACCTTAGTCTCTGAGTGTAGGTCAACTCAATCACAGGAATTGTAATTTTTAGCTTATGCGTCCGGAATATTGTTACTACCTTGACCTTTAAAGATAGAAGTAGAACCATACCTAAGATCCTATATCCTATTTTGACTGGTATTACACAAAACTTTGGAAGATATACACCAAATTCAAGCTCTATCCCCACAGTCCCTAAGGCTTATTACGCATGCATGTTAATAGTAAAAACGTTAGGAAGCATGTACTATTATTTTCAGACACGTATTCATAAACTGCCTATCCTCTTTTCCGTTACACCAGTATTCTAAAAAGCGCTCAAACATCCTAGTAAAGCTAGAAAATATGCACTCATCCTATTCTACCTTGCCCCACTCCCGGGCCTATTCCCTCTTCACCAGAAGACCAGATCAAAAGATACCAACTCCCGCACTTCAAGCTCAAAAATCCCGGATGCATGGTGTAGTTGGTTTATCACATCAGTCTAACACACTGAAGGGTAAGTTGTTCCTTTCCAACCCGCTTCTGCCAGGGAGTGAAGCTGACATAAAGTTATAGTCCCAAGTTCGAGCCTTGGTGCGTTCAACATTTTTTTTTGGCCCATGGCTTAATGAGGTGGTGATTGTGAAAAAGAAATTGGGGTGGTGTAAGGTAAAGGAGGGCGTGGAAAAGAAAGAGATGGCAGTTCCTATATGGTGACACATTGTAATCTACCAAGTAATACCCAGTCCTAAACTAGGATAATTACTGAATGTATTTCTCGTAAAGCTGTATTCTCCCAAGAATATGTTCGGCATATCTACAGGAGCAATTCAACTCCGGGACAGTCACCGCGCTAAGGCAAATTTCGTCATTGCTCCTCCGGAACGAGCGCTCTCTCTTCTCTTCTGTCTCCTCGGAGTGATTGCACTCATAGCCTGAGTCCAACGGCAAATGATGCCACCGCAGCGTGCCTTGGTTCAATTAGTCATAGCTTCTTTTGAAGCGTATGATAGCGTTGCCATCCGAAGGAGAGAGTTTCAATGGCCAGAAAACGTCCCAAGGAGTTTTTTGTTGCCATGACTGTCAACAATGTTTTGATCATGCACGTTCGCCATAACCATGTCATAACCGCAGGGCGTTTCTCTTCAAGCGAACTGGCATATGAGCAGACTTGCCCTCCTCTTGCTCGGGTATCCCTCCCATCTCTCATAATTCATGAGCTTGCGGTCCATTTCGTCCAAAATCCCGTCAATCCCTCTCATCCTCTCACGTCGGTATAAACTTCCCAGAATCAATCTTCTGCTGCGCCGCACTTTCAGGAAACGCAGCAATCCCACTAACAATCCCCGCAGCCATGAAAAGCGCACTAACAAAACTCCAAATAACACCCCAACACTGGCTACTCCCTCCGTAGCGTTCGGCGAAGACGCTGGCGTCGGATGTGTTTACTTTGCGTAGGATGAGGTCGTCGCATATGTCCCATACGGAGTAGAGGGCTGACATTACGCCTATGAAGAGCTGGATGAAACTCGAGTTAGGTGATGACTGAGGGGAAGGTAAGCAGGGGGATAAGTACGTACGACAACGAAGCGCAAAGCCTCAGCATGAGCAATAAACCAACACGCGACCAGCAACCCCACCGCCAATAAAACCGTCCCAACAGTCAACCAATCCCTCCTAGCCCACCAAAGCATAAGTAAGAAACACACACCCAATACAATACTAGCAATTTTACTAGCCACGATATTGAAACCACAGAAGATGAGGAGGCCGCCTATGAGGGAAGAACCTAGGTAACCGGCTGGGAGGGTTATGGCGGATATGCCACCGCGCATGTGTGTTACGCCACCCTCGCGCGGGTCGAGGGATATGGATTCTACTTTCCCGCCTGTGAGAAGGGCGGCGAGGGCGTGGGAGAATTCGTGGAAGGCTATTGTGAGCATCTGTAAAATAAAGCTAGTAACTATGCTCTTGACTCATTGGAGATATCTTAAAAGTATTCCCATCTCAACTGCAATCTCTTTCCACTTACCTTGAACGGCCACAACGACCACCGAATATAGGGAATATTCCACAATAGCGCAATCACAACAGCATATAAAACAATAATCCCCAAAGTAACCTTCTGCGTTTGATTAACCTTCAAACCTCTCTTGTTGAATTCATGATATGCGATTTGAGGTCCTGCTGTGATAGCTGCATTTCTCGCGCTTAAGAGAAGGGAACGAGCGATTTGGCGGTGTGGTGTCGGAGCCATACTTAAGGAAAGCGAGTGTACGATTGAAAGTGTGAGAAAAACTAAAAGAGAAATGAAGGAGAATGAGGAGGGTTAGTGGTTTTGAAGGCTATGAGAAGTTTTTCACGACTGCGACACGTAGTTGCGGTGCTGCGCCTCGATTTACATGTATGTGCAAGGAGTAAACGAATGGTGGCGGTGGACGCGTTGCTATTTATGGTGGTACTGAACATGAAAGATCGTCAGGTCCCATATCATCAGCCCGTATGCGAAGAGTATCCGATGGTAGGGACAGTTTAAGTTAAAATCTTGGTGTGGCGGTATTTGATACTCGATGTTGTGCTAAAACTTCCCACCATAAGCCAGTTTGAAATATATTCTTCTCTAGGAGAAAAAAGCGCTCTGTTCGCTTGTTCTTGCTTTCTGGTCAGGCTACTACATACCCTTACGAGGATTCTTATCCTAAGAAGCTTTACGCGATGTTTATTTGAAGCCTTGGGTTTGCTGGTGACTGAACTGGAGCGTCAATACATCAGTACTTGACAGCACGATCTGTGTATATCACATCCCGACCCAGCATTTGACTTGCACCTCACCGCACGCCACGCCACCCAGAAGGCGAACGGAACTCTTCAATTCCGAAACACTTCCTCCCTCGAAAGCTGTACAAGCGAACAAGTCAAATCCTAGGACAGCCTTTACTGCTGCAATAGTCATTGCGTCGTTCTGATTGGTTGAAAGCCAGGCAATTCGGAGACGGCTAGTACATGAGCCGTTCGCGTTTGTCTATGACCTCAATGAGGTGACCAATCTGTCCACTCCAATTAGACCTTTGGAATTGATATACACACTATTTTGACCACATCCTCATAGAAAATGTTATAGCGTCTTCGTGTTTGGCTTTTTCTTCTGCTTCCACTTTTCATTGTTCTGCGTTACACGCAAGTCGTAGCAGCGCAAGCGCATCGAATATCATCCCATCGCCTTCAAGATGCAGTACTACGCCCTCGCCATCTTGGGTTGTATACTCTACTTCCTAACCAAAACCCTCTACTCCCTCTACACGAACGTACAGCTAGCCCGCGCATCTGGCATCCCGTACACCATCTCCCCCATCTATGGCTACAACATGTTCTGGCTAGTAACATCTCCCCTCTACCTAAAGCTCCTCCACCGCCTCCCCTCCTTTCTCACAGAACCATGGATCCACATAACCCCCGGCGACTGGTCATGGCAAATGTCCTACACCCCCTTCGGTTCCGCAATGTTCAACTCGGACACCTTTTTGATTGTTTCCCCTGGGGGGATAATCATGCCGACGGCGGATGCAGATGTAATTAATGAGATTGTGACCAGGAAAGCGGATTTCCCAAAACCAATTGAGATGTATGGGAGTTTGGATATTTTTGGGAAGAATGTCGTTTCTGTTGAGGGGGGCGAGTGGAGGAGGCAGAGGAGGTTGCTGACGCCGCAATTTAATGAGAAGAGTAATGGTGTTGTTTGGAAGGAGAGTTTGTTTCAGGCGGGGAAGATGCTGGAGAGTTGGAAAAGGGGGAGTGTTGTTGATAGTGGTGCCAATGGGCGGGGGGAAGATGGCAAAGCTGATGGTGGTAAAGTGAATGGGTTTCCTGAGAAGAAAGTGAAGAATGCGACGAAGAGTGGGATAGTAATTAGTGAGCTGGGAAAAGATTGCATGAGATTAAGTCTGCACGTTATCAGCCGCGCTGGATTCGATGTACGCTGTCTCTGGCCTGGAGCGAAAGATAGTGAAAAGGCCATGGACGAAGGATCAATGGACTCGAATATTGTCCCAGAAGGGTGAGTTTTGTCACTCCAGCTCCACCCATTCTGCCAACTAATGACTATGATAGCCACAAAATGTCCTACACCTCCTCCCTAGAAACCCTCCTCCACCGCATCCTACCAGTCCTCATCCTCCCAGATTGGTTCCTCCGACTTTCCCCCTGGTCCCTCCTCCGGCAAGCAGGAACATCCTACAAAGAATGGGGATTATACATGTCCGAGATCTACGACCGCAAAGCCGACATGATTCAACACACAAAATCCATTTCCACTGATGATGAGGGACTAGATCTCATGGGCGCAATGATACGGCATTCAGGACTTATAGAGGGCACACCAAACCATGGTAAAAGGGGTGTGGGAATGAGTCAAAGAGAGGTTATGGGCAATAGTTTTGTGCTGTTTTTGGCGGGGCATGAGACTGCTGCTAATAGTATACATTTCTGCGTGTTGTATTTGGCTATGCGGCCGGATTTGCAGAGGAAATTACAAGGTACCACCTATACTTCACTCCCTAAACTACCCCTAATTAACTTGCACTAACTCCACATCTCCCAGCCGAACTATCCCAAATCTTCGGCTCCACACCCCCCAGCACCTGGTCCTACGAAACCCACATCCCAACCCTCTTCACAACCCTAACCGGCGCAATCATGAACGAACAACTCCGACTCATTCCTCCCGTAGTGATGATACCCAAATCCACCCCCGCCTCCTCCCCGCAACCTTTGATAATAAACGGAAAACCATGTATCGTCCCTCCAAAAACACACATAGCACTTGATTCCGTGGCCGTGCATAGGAATCCAAAGTACTGGCCGCATGGACCGGCGAGGAGTGAGGAGGATGGTGGGCCAGTGCATGAGAGTAGTAATTTGGAGAATGATCTCGAGGAATTCAAACCGGAGAGGTGGTTTGTTACAAGTGATGATTCTTCCAGCTCCACCACAGTAAGAGGACGAGAAGGGAATAAGGATGATGAGGCAACAGCAACAGACGAAGACAACGAATTCGAAATCTCAGAAGCCCCAACCTCAACATCACACAAACCCCTCTTCCACCCCCAACGCGGTGCATACATACCCTTTTCCGAGGGTGCACGCTCATGCATAGGCCGTCGTTTCGCGCAAGTAGAAATACTAGCTACATTAGCTGTTTTATTTCATACGCATTCTTTTGAGTTATGTACGGATGGGTTTGCTTCTGAGGAGGAGGTTAGCAAGATGGGTAGGGAGGAGAGGAGCGGGGTTTATGGGGAGGTTAGACAAGAGGTGGAGAGGAAGATGAGGGAGGAGATGGGGACGGTTATTACGTTGCAGTTTCGAAAGGGGGGGGTTAGGTTGAGGGTTTGTGAGAGGGGGGGTGAATTGTTCTTTTGAGGGGGATGGTGAATTTGTGCAGAGCGTTAGAGCAACTTCTGAATACTTGAAAGAATCGTGTAATACTTGAAAGAATTTTGCAAATGCATGTATATCGATATGGAAGACTAAATAGATGATGATTTTGAGGTATCCTCGCGAGAGGAGTAAGCAGTAATAGCTTGAGAAAGTCGACCTAAAAATCA